GCATTAAATTCTCTTCATAAAAATAATTAGATTTAAGCTATATAATTAGAAGTAACTTAAATAGAGAATATAAAAGTTTAGGAAATTATATAAAGACTAGATAACATTTATCTATTAAGTAGTAGATAAGTATATATTATAAAATTAAAAAAATAAAATAAATAATGTATATAAATATAAAGTAAAATATATTATTTAAAGTTATAATTAATATATTAGTATTAATTATTTAGAAACTTTTTTTATTACTTATAAACTTAAAAACTATAAATTTATAATTATATTTACTATAAAAAAAGTTAGACCTTTTTATAATATAATATTATTATAGCGTTTATATATACTAATATAGATATAAATATATATATATTATTACTAATAGGTTTTTTATATAATAAAACTATAAAAAAGTTAGAATTTAATTTTAATTTTAATTATAAGTTTAATAATAATAAATATTACTATAAGCTTCTTAAAGCTTTATATAATTTAAAATAAAGCTTTAAACTATAGTATAACTACTTAAAAGCTATATTAATAAAATTAAGATTTATTATTTTACTTTATAATAAAGTAATATTTATACTTAATAAAAATAACTATAAAGCTATAATTTGTTACTATATACATAATATACTTTTAGTAGCTAATACTACTACTACTAATAACTATATATATAATAAACTAAGATAATATATAAAAAATATATTAGTTAAACTTAAAAGATAGGAATATATAAATATTATTTAAGTTTAAAAAGATTAAATAGAAGTAAATAAAGTTCTTAAGCTATATATATAGAAGTATTAATAAATAATAATAGAAAAGAAAGTAAAGATAGAATATATATTTACATTATTAAAGTTATAATAGCTAAAAATAGCTTTAGAGATATATTTAGAGTTATTTAGATATATAATTAGCTAAATTACTCTTAATAACTATAAATAGAACTATATTTTTATAGATAAGTAAGTATTTAGTTAAACTAAGGTTTTTATAATTAGAAATAGAATTAGATAAAAATATAGCTAGAGTTTTAGTTAATAATACTACATTATTAATTTTATTAAAGATTAGTAAAAATATATTAGTATTATACTCAAGTATATATTAGTAATATATAAAAGTATAATAAGGATACAAGAATAACAGAGAGAAAAATATATAAAAAATAAGGTTATATTATATAGTAATATATGTAAATATTTACTTATTAAACTACTATTTTAATAAGACAAGAAAAAAATAGAAACTAATATAAATAGGAAATTAATAAATAGCTATTAAGGAGGTATATATATATAATTAACTAATTATATATATTTATTTAAGTAAGGGTACTACCATACGCACCTACACTAGCTGTACCTATAGGGAAAAAAGGGTTTTGAGCCACTGGTCCCTGCGGACTTCCGTAGGACCTGAGACCCTCAGCCCAAGGTCCCAAGCATGAAGCACTGCAGGACCAAGCATTTGAGGGGCCCGCTGGTTGGTGCTGGGGGCGGGGGGGATTCGGGGACGAAAGAGCGGAATCGGATTTGGGAGAAAGAGGCGAGAAAGACAGACCCGGGTTGGCGGAGAAGGAAACGATCCAGTGGGATGTCATGGATCAGGCTGGGCGGGTGGAGCACATGCGGAAGTCTAGGACACTGGGAACGGGGTTCAGCAGTCTTCAGTCCTGAGAAGAGAAAGGGACTTTGGTTCTGATGGGCTGATGGTGACGGGGGTAAGCGAGTGAGGCCAATTTGAGCTTCATTAGTCCCCATTGGAGAAAGTACCGTGCATGAGGCCGTCTCCTCTTGGGCTCCTCTTTTTGCAAGACAGCAAGACGATCTCTCGCCTGTCTCTCTCTCGGAAACAATCACGAGTGACAGAGACACAGGGCCTCAGCCACAACCGGTGCAACAGAAGGGAGATGCAGGTGCAGCAGAAAGCCCTGCCGTGTTTGGTGTGCTGTGGTGCTGTGCTGTGGTATGCCTCGCAGGATTGACGCCAGCCGTGCTAAGCTTTTGCTGTGCTTCACCCGCAATTGTGCATTCTGTCATGCTATGCCGTGTCATTTGAGACGATGATGATGTAGTGCGGCGTGCGAAAACAGCATCTGTCCTCGGCAACCCCTGCACAGGACTCATGTCGATCGGTATGGACGGTGTGATGGGCTTATTGAGGCCATCGTGGCAGGACTTCTGAGCTGCAACTACTCGAGGCCTCAATGTCAGAGTTTTGCTGCTAATCTGCCAACCTGCCAACCTGCCAATCTGCTGCCACAGCGGATGTTGAAACACAACCCGTCCCATTGCGACACTTTGGCCTCAGTTGCGCCCATTCGCCGTTGGTGTTGGCCATCTCGTTCTCCATGGTTCAGGGTCGAGGGTCGTCGGCCGATGGCGCCATACTCTGAATGGCAATTCGTACTGCTGCGAACCTGTGCGGTCCGTTTGTTACTGGGCTGGACCCGGCCCCACGGCTGGCTGCTCTCGCTCTCTTTCTTTCCACCTGGTTTCCACATGCCACGCCTGCCCCGTCGAGACCCATCAAACAAATTGAAAGCATGGCGGGAGCCGGGGGAGCGAAAAGGCAGCCGTCAAACCGGTGCGCCGTCCCGGAATGCGTTCGTGATGGCTTGCGTCGACCGTTGGGGGGTGTTTGAGCATTCAGCGGCCAGAGAATTCGGCTGCCTTTTGGGGTTGATGCGCGTCCAACGTTTTAGCTCAGCAGCACGGCACAAACGCGACCTCACCAACGCGCAATACGGTGAGTGTACGGATACTTCGTATGGACAAACAGCAACAGAAACGGACTCGGACCCAGGGAGAGAGGAGGATGTCTTGTCTTGCTTGTTTGCCGCTGACAACAGCCAGCATCATCGGTCACGATGCTGGAGCGGACAGCACCGCAGTGTGTGGGCTGCGGATACCATCACCATCATCATCACCGGTATGAAATGGAGCTATTATTGAAACCTCTCCTCTCAGCCGTGACGCCGTTACATTGAGCGCGATTCTCAAAATGTCGTCGGTGCTAATCCAGCACTCTAATGCTTGATTCCGGGGCTGTGCTTATGTCGCTCTTTCTCGTCTGCTCCACTTTAGCCCAGTTTAGTCCGACGGCTGCAGCACGACGGTGACCCTAACAGCGGGTCCTGCACTCACTGCCCTGGAGCTGTTTGGGTCCCAGGTCGCGTCTTGTACCCGACGGCGGGCGTCTTGACGAGGAATTGGGGCAGAAGGGTCCTGGGTGTCTCCCAAAACCGCCATTCTCGCTCTTTTCCCTCAGCGACCCTCCAGCCCATGCACTCAGTAAACCCAGTAAATCCAGTAGCGTACCAACCCAGCGATACCTCACTCTCTGCCTGCGGGCCTCGGCCCCAGGTAACTGCGTTATATAAGCTACGTAGTTCAAAAAAGAGACTTTTTAGGACTAATTAATAGAGTACTTATAAGTAGTAGCTATACTACTATAAATCCTTCTATACTTAACATTACTATATCTTAGCTAATAAAGCTATTTACTATACTAACGTTATTAGTATCTCTATTAATATAATATCTAAGACTTAATATAAAGTATTATTATTAATTACTATTAGTATATTTTTAAGGACTTACTATATATAAGTAGTATATAGTTAGTTTATTATTAAGTTTCTTAGAAAATATATATGGCTTAATAAACTAAACTAAACTTTTTAATAATAGTTTATTTTACTATTTGTTAAAATTAGTTTATTTATTTTCTTAAAACTAATATCTTTTTTAATAAAGTATATATAAAAGTAAAAATATTATTAGAAGTTAAAACTATATAAATAGCTAGCTATAACTATCTCTATATTATAAATATTAGTCAAGTTAAGTTAAGCTATTTTAGAAGAGATTATTTTACTTTTAAGGTTATTTATAACCTTAAGAGATAAGGCTAAGTAGCAGTATATATATTAATGCCTTAAAGCTTATTAGTAAAAAAAAATCTCCTTCTAGAACACTAAAAAAACTGGGTAATAAAACCAAAGATACCTCACTCTCGACGCTCCCATGCGGACGAACAGGGGTCTGATCCTCCTCAGTTCGCAAAGCCCAGACTCCGCCTCCACTAACCGCCCGCGACGCCGTCTGATTGGCCCAGCTGCTCCAGGCAGCAGCCTTCGCCCCGGGCGCTCCTAGGTCCGCTCACGTCGTTCACGTCGCTTCTGCTTTTCTAATCAACCTCGACGACCTTCGAGCCAAACCGCCAAATCTCACGCTTCTCCCGCCTCCATCCCACCCCCGTCCACGTCTTCGTCCTCGCCGTCCTTTCTTCGACCGAATCCTTCTCCTCGTCCTCAACCATCTCTTCTTTTTTTTTTCCCCCTCCCTCAGTCTCGCACACCTCCGTCCTCAACTTTCAGGACTCGACATCCGCCCGCACCTGTCCCACTGAGGCCGCCACATCCAGTCCGCAGTTGGCACTTCCCCCACCATCTCTACTCGTCCGCCGCTTCTCCCGTACACTTTCCCAATAACAACCTGCACATCTGCCCTCTTCTCCCTCGTCTCTCTCGCCGACGCGTAGTCCCGCAGAGACGAACGAACCGCTCCTACCCCGTGTCTCGCATCCAGCACTCTGCAGACCGGACCCCAAAATCAGGCAGACTGATTTCGGCCTCGACTTAAATCGTCTCTCCTGCATCCTCAGACTTCCCGTCGCCGACATACCATCATCTCCCGCACCAGCTGTTATCACACATTGTAAGACTAGGACCTCTCCTTTCTTCTACTTCGTCCACACGTTCCCCGTCTCAAACATCTGCCGCCACATTGTCACATTGGCCAATCCTAAAACCTTGGGGACGATTGGCCCCAAGAGTTAGGACTATCCTGCATCTGGCGTACCGGCGTTGTCCTGGTCGTGACTCACACCCCGTGTCCCGTTCAGCCCTACAACTCGAATGAACCCATAAGATATCTAACACTCTCCTTGTTGACAGAGTTCTGGACACCCGTGTCATTACCGTCACCATGTCCGTCTCCGTCAACCCTCGACGAAGGACTCCGGTGACTCGCCCGGAGTCTCCTGCCGGCCTTAGCCTTAAGACCAACATGACCCTTCGCAAGGGTGCTACCTTCCACTCTCCCACCAGCCCTACCTCTTCAACAGACGATGCCTTGGCCTCCCCTCCTAGCCTTCGACGCTCCCAGACAAACCTGGACGACGTCGTTGATGCCCACTGCCGTCGCGCCGCGTTGATGATCGACGACATTGAGAACTCTCTCTCCAACATCACCATCGTCTCGCCCAAGGCCAGGTCTTTCCGTGACGACAGCCTTCCCGTTCCCAGAGGCTTCCTCAACCTTCCCGTTGTCGACCCCGCCATGGCCAAGGAGAAGTCAAAGGAAGCGGAACGCCGCATTCTGCGTCCCAGAACCCGCCGCTCCTCGAGACATCATGAATCAGACAGCGGACTCGGCACCTCTGTCGCCCCTACCACCGAGACAGAGCCTGCGACCACCGCATCAAAGAAGGCCTCTGCCATTACTAGGTCCGCTGCTGCCACCTCTTCATCCACCAAGGAGAACCTTCGCGGCCTCAGCCAAAAGGCTGCCAACCGCATCACAGAGCACATTCTGCGCCCTCTTCGGGCCAAGCCTGCCCTGAAGGACTTTGAGCCCATTGTTCTCGATGTTCCTAGACTCATTAGAGATAAGGAGATCATCTGTCTGAGAGATCTCGAAAAGACTTTGATTTTCATGGCACCGGTAAGTCAAGCACTGACTGATACTGGTCTTTGGGGAAATACTTATCGATTGTTGATGAAGGGGAGGTCCAAGACTGCCGCCTTGTACCTCGACTTCTGCCTGACGTCGATCCGCTGCATTCAAGCCACCGTGGAATACCTCAGCGACCGAGAACAGACTCGACCCAACGACCGACCTTACACTAACGGGTATTTTATCGATCTTGTCGAACAGCTTCACCAGTACGCAGGCCAACTCGCTGCCGCCAAGGAAAAGGGAGACGTTGAGATCTCGTATGGTAACCCCGCTCCGGGATTATTTGCCCCTGCTAACGCGACAAACAGCACCGACGAAATCAAGCTTTACGGTGGCATCACCGAGAACGGACGCCCTGCTGAGCTCGTCCGCGTTCGTAAGGACGGTAAGGCCATCTCCATGGCTACTGGTCTGGAGGTCGACCTGGACGACTCCGCACCCATCAAGATGAAGCGCTCCATGAGCCAGCAGCTGGAGGACGAGGAGGAGATCATGCGCTCCATGGCCCGCCGCAAGAAGAACGCCAGCCCCGAGGAGCTCGCCCCCAAGAAGTGCCGCGAGCCTGGCTGCAACAAGGAGTTCAAGCGCCCATGCGACTTGACCAAGCACGAGAAGACTCACTCGCGTCCTTGGAAGTGCCCTGTTCCCACCTGCAAGTACCACGAGTACGGCTGGCCGACTGAGAAGGAGATGGACCGCCACCACAACGACAAGCACTCTTCGGCTCCTCCCATGTACGAGTGCTTGTACAAGCCTTGCCCTTACAAGTCGAAGCGCGAGTCCAACTGCAAGCAGCACATGGAGAAGGCTCATGGCTGGACCTACGTCCGCACCAAGACCAATGGCAAGAAGGACAGCAAGGCCGGCAGCGTAACCCACGCCACTCCCCAGCTTCACCACATGCCTACCCCCTCCACCAGCAGTGCTGCCACTCCTCCGCCAATGGACCAGGCCCAGCACTTCAACTTCAACGACCCCATGCTGCCCCTGCACCCCATCGGCCCCGTTGGCGACTTCGCTTCCCACATTGACGGCATGGAATTCCCCTCGTACATTTCCGATGAAGAGTTTGAGCAGGTCATAGGCGTCCAGCAGCCGTTCGACAACCAAGTGGACCTCGAGATGTCCCTGTCCCCGTCCGACCACAATACTCCCAACACCGACATCTCTCTTGGCCCGTACTCGTACCAAGACGGTCCGGAGTTTATTGTGGAAGACGACATCTACGCTGCGCATGCTTCGCTTCCCACTCCTGACCGCGCCGTGTTTGCCGACAAGCAGATGAACATGGCTTTCCCCATCTACCAGCCTGTACCCGCCTGCCAGCCGCAGATGATGCCGGCTCAGCCCGCTCCTCACATCTCCCCCATCGGCCAGGGCAATGCTATGCTCTTCACACCTAACTCGCTGGCTGAGGTCGACGAGAGCTTCGATGACAACTTTGGCAACGCCGGTGACAACTTCTGCGGCAACGACTTTCAGTTGTTCCCGTCCAACAATGCCACTAAGACCTTCGAGCCTCTGTTTGGCGAGGTACCGAGCGCCGGTCTGGGTTACTCCCAAAATTCCCAAGACCCCTTCCAGTCACTAGACTGGAATAACATCGACTACACAAACTTCCCGAGCCAGTAAACGGTCTTCAGCGGAGTGTGCGATGAATACGGTGACAGCTCTTTTGAGCTGCGCAAGTGTGACAAAAACTTCTTGGTGTTGGACAGGTTTATGATTTTATGACTGGATACGGATTGAGCCATTTGTATTGGCTCGGGGATGTCGGATGTTCGACTTGTCCTCTTTGGCGCGCTTTTGTACAATTGGTTTGGCAGAACAACCCTGCTTGCTCTAGGATTTATCTCTTTCCTCATTTTTAATGGTATGAGATTGACGATAGAGGATGTGTATGGCACGAGATGTGGTGACTTGGGGCCAACAGAACAAAAGGTCTCCGCTAGTCAGCCGACGGGTGTGAGGAAGCAGATCTCTAAACATATCGCTTTGAAATTTGATATGGCAAGTTCTGAGAAGAAGAAAAAGCTATTCTGTCTATCTGGCGTCCGTTGAGCAATGCCGTGACGTGGGATGCTGTGTCGACTGTTGACCAAGTATCCACTGAAGGACTGTTTGCTCTGGATATCACGGACGGAATGAAAGAAATGGGGCCCCAGAGGCCCAGATGGAGCGGACACGGCTCCGGCAGAGAGTCGAAAGTCTCCGCGGGATTAAGGGTGGAGGCGTATGACGTCTGGGGCGGCGAGTGTGAGTCTCACGGCGACGGATCGGGCTTGACGGGGGATTGGGTCTCAGGTTCCGGCTCTTCCTACGATGAAGGGATCTGCGGGCTGGGATACGAGGGAGCCGGCGCGTAATCAATTTCGTTGGCAAATAGGGGCCAAGGGAAGGTAGATTGCACCGTAACTTTAGGGTGGAAAAGGGTAGATAGGTAGATTTAGGAATCTCAAAGAGCCAGTAGTTATATCTCCCTTCTCAGAGCGCAGCATTACCGACACAGCTCGCCCTGGCACCTGATCGCCGCACCGCTCTGCTTGACCCTGTGTATCTAAGGGCATGGGGTTGTGCAAACGTATACATGCATACCTAGATCTTTCTTCCTTTCTGAGTTTTCTTCTTCGCAGTTTGCCGCCTGGAGGCGCACCTTGTTGACTGCCGTATGACTCTAATGCATACCTAGATACCCTATAACGCGAATCTCGGCGCGTCGGCATCACTAATATCCAGCTGGAGTTCACGCGTCTTGATTCGTTCTAGAAGTGGAGTCTTCATTCTCAACTACCTACCTACCCCTTCCATACAGTCCCTGAATGTTTGTAAGCGTGGTACTTAGGCCCCATGATTGCATATGAGATGCTGGGGTGTTTTAACAAACTACATATCCCCCTGGCTCAATTTCATGGGGGCTTTGCTTTTTCGGGCTGGTATTTGCTTATACAAACTTTCAGGGACTGTATTGTACACTTTCCACATCGTATTGTTTGTGCGATAGAAGAAGGCCTGTTTCACCCGCCACATCCCTCTCTCAACACCCGTTTATCCATATTAACTTCTCAACCGCGTGTTTTGCCGTTCGAATTACTTCCGCCCCCTTCACCCCGTGGCCCTCACGCCGTCTTTAGCTGTCTGTAGCATCATCATTAAGTGTCCGCCATCTACCTTGATACTTGCCTCACCCAACTCAATATACCTTACCTAGGTCCACCTCGCCTTACAGGTATCTCCTAGACACACACACACACACACACATACAAAAGGGGTCCCTGCATTACTCATAGCCCGCTATCCAGTCTTCCCCCTCCTACCTCCTACCTCCTATCTCCTACCTCTCTGTTGTGAGACCAACAGAAGAAGCATGTCTCCCGAGTCACGCCCCAATAATATACACCATCCAAGCCAGGCCTTGCGCGCTACTGCCCAAGCCGCGTGTGACGCACTCCCCCTAAATGACGGAGAAAACAGCCAGAAGCTCCCAAGCAGGCAAGACCCGCGGCCAGCCCAGCTCTTCAGCTCAACACTCTCATCCCTGCCCAATTCCATCGTCACATCGAAGCCCAGGACGCCAGACATAGCCCCATCAGCAGCCAAGGAAAATGCGCAGGAGAGGTCACAAACGCCACCATCCTATACCAGGTCCTCCCCTATAACCATCTTCATCCCAGCCAGCGATATAACGATGAACCTTCCCTAGGGCATCTTCAAGTCCATACAGGCGGAAACCTACAATCAAATCCTCCACCTCCCCATATCAAGTAGTATAGGTTTCGCGAAGCTTCACCTCCAGACCGAAGAAGGTAGCAGGCTAGTCAAGCCGCCACTCAACGTCGCCAACCCCCCAGCGTATGTCCAGACGTATACCTTCTACCCGTCAAGAACCCCCAGTATGTCCATCCTCAACATGCCGAAGCCTAACACCCAGACGCAGGAGGCCGTCGTCATCAAGACGAGCCCACGTCGCAGCGCCTCACCCCAACCAAGGGCGCCGTCCATACAGGCCGACATGGCTGATTCCTTCTCCCATCAGCCCTTACCTAACACCATCACATCCTACTTCGCTAGCATATACAATCAGGCGGGGGTCACAGGCGACAGCTAGCTGACCAATCCAGCCCTCATCGCCAATTCCAAAGACGGGGTAGCCACAATCATCACCTCCCCAGCGCCATTCAGTTATCCCAGCATATACCTGCAGCGCTCATCCTCCGCTACGTTTGATATTATTTTCCGCAGAGGGCCCAAGGTCTAGCTTATCGTCAAACCCACATCCAGCCGAAGGCTTGAGGACTGCGTAAGGGCTATCCTATCCCAGCCGTCACAGGGAGGGGGGAAAGGACAGGGCGAGCAGCAGCAGCAGCAGCAGCAACAACAACAGCAACCCACGCGTGGAACCCCCCCCCCCCCGCCACACCTTGCTCGCAGTTCTTCCTCCACAATAAGATCTTCATCACAAAAGCCATGCTCAACCAGTAGGATGTGACGTATTATGTTTTCAGCTGCATCGAGGGAGATACCGTCGTTATGCCCCCGGGCACCTACTTCCAGGTTTTCAACGCCAGACCCTGCCTCTCCCAGCTTATCACCATCCCTTCAGCCCCCACATCAGACGCAAACAGCCGATATACAGGCAACCTCCATCCCTATAGCAATACCTGCGAGACCCTCCAACCGCCCGGGAGCACGTAGCCTGACGATTCAGCCGCCAACACTGTTAGCAACAAAGTTACCTCCTCAGACTGCAACCCAGCCGCAGGTCCCAGCCGGAGGAAGCTACCCAAATGTCGGACCATAGACCACCAGGACATCATGGGTAGCTCGGGACCAAGCGCGGGGGGGCCGGCAGATATCCCTCTCATAAAGCGCAGCCTCCAGAAAGCCATGCCCCCTTCCCCGCTATCTTCAGGTGACAACGCCGCAGAAGGCTCTACACTCAGCAGGCGACCAGCCCTACCATTATCATCATCATCATCATCATCATCGCAGCCCCTCGCCCAACATCAACTCCATAGTACAGCCACAAGCAACAGGGCATCTACGCTCAGGCGTGAAAGACATCTAAAGGGGAAGACGTCAACAGGCAAACAAGCCCAGGCCACCAATCCTACAGACAATAACAACACACTAGCCAGCACCAGCCAAGCCCACACCGCGGCCCAACATGCCAGCAAGCAGACGTGCCATATAACCCAATCCTAGTCTCACCGCAGACAAACACACACCCACAGAACCCGCCAGCCGCACCACAAAATAGGCCCCACAACAGGTATAGCAAGAGCCACGCTAGGGATGTTGCTAGTAGCGACAAGACAGACGACACAGATAATACAGACCATAAAAATGATGATGAGGATGTGAAGGACCTCAACTGCAACATCTCCCGCGACGACACCCCAGATAGCCTCGCAGAGATATCCGCAGAAGATTACTCAGGAAGCCAGGACGACGCCAATAATCAGAAACCCCGCTCCAGCGAGGCCAGGCCGCATACGTCCAGGTCAGCCCCTTCCATGGACAAGGTCGAGGCCATTGTGAAGTCCCTCGTCACCCGCAGCGTTAAACAGTGCGTGGCCCTCTTACAAGCCTGGCGGGCCGCCTCAACAAGCTCAACGCTCCACCTCCCGCCATACAAGAACCACATCGTTCTCTACCACAACACCCAGCAGGCCAAATACCACGAGGCCAGTTCACCCCATGTGTTTTCCCTCCCCCCCCTTTTTATTTTTTAAATAAAAAATAAAAAATAACACATCCTTCCCCTTTCCCTTTCTCTTTCCCTTTAATTACACTAAGGAATGATGATGAATAATGAAGGCCCTTCATACCTTAGTGTAGACTTAAGCGTGCTTTCTTTGGGCCTTTTCCTGGTTTTTGGTGACTGTATTCCGTTGTTAGACCGTTTGGTGTCTTGTACTAAGGTAGTCCCTATGCTCCCGTCGTCCATGTGAGACGGGTTCGGCGGGGATAACCGTTCTGTCCCGCTTCCCCCGTCGGCTTACCTAACTTTCTGAGGTGTCACTCAGTGAAGCTCCTGTGGGGTATCTACACCCAGCTGTCGCCGGACCGCCGCCCTTTCGCCTAATTCCTGAGGTCTCCATGCCCCACCCACCGCAAGGTGCCGCCAGCTCCAAAAAGCGCGTCGGCAAAATCTCTTCGCCTTTCCTTCCTCCCAACTTCCATCCACCACCACCCCAAACGCGTATCGTCAACGCCGCCGCGTCGCAGCACGAACGTCGCACATCGAAGCTTCACGGATTCAAACTCATTCTTTTTGAATCCGTCGCTGAGAGGTAAGCCAACTCATTTTTCCTCACGTCACAAAATCACGCGTGTGTGCTCCACGCACGCGCAACGACCAACATATGATGAATTCGCATCACCCGTATCTCAATAGGAAGAGCCGTCTGAGACGCCCCGGAGCATTTCAAGGGCCTTCGGGAACGGGGGGAGGAGGGGGAGAGCGCGGGAGAGCGAGATGTGGGAGGAAAGGGAAGTCGGGGGAGGGGGGGAGAGGGCGAGTGTCGTGTTTTTCCCGGTCGCGGACCTCTGCAGCCCCTGCACTTTGCGTGCCGGCACCGAACGGTCTACCGATGGACGCGCAACTTTACCTCCGTGGGGAACGCGCCTCGAACGCCTGCTTGACATTCTCTCCTGCTTCTGGCATGGATTGTTCGTGCAAGCGTTACGGGCGGCGGGGTGCGGACCTTTATGCAGACATTAAGGGCCGGCGTTGGAGGTTGGACTCTGGATGGTGGAAGATGCTTAACAGCGCTTACATCGATGGTGTTCGGCGGGAGCGAGGCGGGGAAATGTTGTGGTTTGGTTCGTTGGCTGGGGACGGCGCTTGTCTTTTTCTTCTTTTCCTTGCTTTCTGGGACATTCTGCGTTTTTCTCTTCTGTTTTTCTCTCTCTTCTTTTCCCTCCGGAGGTCTGCTCCCTTCGGCTTCGCTTTCCTGTTGACATCCTATCTGTCTGGACACCATGGCTGCGGGAAGTTTGCACCGTCATGTGCCATCTCGTACGTCGTCGGGGTAGGGGCGCAGGGAGGTGGGGTGGGGATGTAGTGCTTTTAAATTGGGTTTCTGACATTGGTCTTATTTTCCGCTTGGAAAGATTGAAGATTGATCTGGGTTTGGAACTTTGCTGACTAGACCTACAGGTGCGCGTTCTAGCTTCGAGGTTGGTGTTGGGGGACGAAGGTTGATGCGGAGAGGTAGAATAATGAAATGCGTTCATTCAGTCATGCAATTCGTTCTCTGGTGATGCTATGCACGATCGTGCCATGTTTTCAACTGCCAGATATTACTCGTGTCTATTCAACAATACATGCCTGCCCCCAGGGCTTACTCGTCACTATCACTGTCAAATACCGGGCGCCTTCTCTGCTGCCGGCCTCCCACCTGTCTCTGCGGCGTATGATCTGGCTCGGAATCGAGCCGCGCCCTGCTTGTCGACGGCCGCTTCGTGCTGCTAAGCAGATCGTCGTCATCATCCAGCAGCGAGTCCACCGACTCCTGCGTGGGCTGAAATTGAGTCGGCACGTAAAACGGCTTTGATGTCTCTGTCCGCGTTGGAGAATCGGGGGTTGCAGTTTGGCTCGATGGTGGATTGGATGACGTCGGTCGCACACTGGACATGGGATGGTCGTCCGAGACAACGAAATCCACCAAGTCAGCTCCATCGTCCGAACCGTCCGTATCCATCGCGTCGCTGTCCCGCAAGCAGTCATCGCCGAGTTCATCGCTGTTGATGCCACCTCGGGTTTTCTTGGTGGCTTTCTTGCCGCGCTTCTTGGCCGCTGGCTTTGGGCGGCGTCGCGGAGGGGATTCTTCCTCCTCCATGTCGTTGAGGCCATCGTCTATGAGGGCAGAGGCGGCCATGAATGACCTAGGTTTCACTGCACCGGTAGATACGCGTTTCTTGGGGCGGGACTGCTCGACTACATCGTCGTCGTCGGAGAATTCTATCACGGATCTCGTGGCTGGGGGACCCTCGTCCTCCGTATCGCTTGCAAAAGGCGGCACCGGGATGCTTTTGTATCGGCTGGTATCTTTCTCCCCATAAGGTTTCGTGTACCGGCTCGCAGTATCCTGCTGCTGAGAAAGCTTCTTGCAGAGCTTGACAAACTTCTTGGTCCTTACGCCATGTTGAACCCTCTCGACTGGTCGAAGTCGTCGCTGAAGCAGCGGGTACGACGTCAAGTTCGGCATCTCAGTCTCTTCGATCTTCGTAGTGCTTGCTGGCAGAGAACGGTATATCCTATCCAGTTCAGCTAGTTGAGTATCGGTCAAAACGACAGAGTTCAAAGATGGTACGTCCTCAACAAAGTCTGCCTCCGTTGGCTCCGGCTGCTTCGGTGGACGACCCCTTTTAGCCCCTGCGGTTGGCTTGCCAAAATCTGATGCTTTTGTGAATCCAAGCTCGACGCCGTCCGGAAGATGGAATTTCTTGGGCGGCTTCTTCTTGGCTGGCTGCCTTCGCTTCTTCGGCTCAGGCAGCGCCGGGTTCTGGGTGTTCTCAATGGGTATCTCAATGTGTTGCATGACAACTTCTGGACGAATGTCTCGAGGGACGATCCGGGCTGATAAATCATGACGGAAATTGAACTTGCTTCCATCGCTGATAATCTTTTGCATTTCCGCATAGTTGTCCTTGGATCTGGCAAATGCCTCTTCCTCTTTCCCCCGCATGAGGAGCAGGATGATGTTTCCCGCTCGCTTTCGTCCGGTTCGACCCATTCGTTGCAGCATGCGGATAGGCGAGGAGGATGCATCGTAGCAGACAATCAGGTCGACTTGACCAATGTCTAGACCTTCCTCACCAATGGATGTTGCCACTAGTACATTGTACTTGCCGTCCTTGAACTTCTCAATCGTCTCAATCTGTTCGGCTTGCTTCATACCTGCTGACCTTTTGGAATCTGCCTGGCCAACAAAGACTGTGGCCTTGATGAGTGGCTTGTGACGATTCAGTACCTGGACAATATCCTCGGCGCTGTCTCTGTACTCGCTAAATACGATGACGCGAGTTGCTGAATTCCCACCATTGTCCATGAAGTGGTTCAGAATTCGGTCTTGGAGTTCAGTTAGCTTCGGATGACTCACAAATCCATCAATCCGAAGCCACTTCTCCATGTTCGACATCATTTCTTGGAAATGCTCGCTTTCCAAAATTTGCTTCTTGTATTTTGATCCTTTTGCCCCCTTTTCCTCAACCTCACTTCTGAACTCATTGAGGTTCTCGTAGAACGGCCTCACTCCGTGAAAGTTCAGTAGTTTGATCGTGTGCGCGAGGCTTTGAAGAATGGAGAAGACAGACCGCATCATGCCTTGCAGCCCCGGGTTGGCTCGTCGCCCGACATTTGCAAACCAATCCTTCTGTTGTTGCATCAAGCCATATGCCGTGATGGACATTGGGTCTCGTCCGTAGTAAATGTTTTGTTGCGTGAGCTTGTCCATGAGGGGTTTCAGGGCTTTAGTAAACAGGTCCTTGATCTCGCACATCTCGTCGGACGGGTCAAGCAAAACCTGCTCAACATTCCTTTGGTGTACGTATTGACGAATATCGATGGACTCCTCCGTCCGAATCTCAATGTGAGATATGCCGAGATTGTCAATAATCTCTTGCACGGTCTCAACTTTGGAGCCAGGTGTGGCTGTCAAGGCCAAGACACGGAAGTAGGGATTGAAGCGACGCATGAGCTTGACGACCTTGGCGTACGCGTACTCGCCCGTTGCACGATGCGCTTCGTCGATAACCAGAAGGACGATCGACTTGGGATCTGCATAACCATGGGACAAATCGTTGGCCAGAGTCTGGGGCGTCATAAAGAACACTCGCTTGGATTGCCACTCATCAACCCTAAGGGCCGGTGCTGTGTCACCTGTTAGAAGCGTCGTTTCGGATCGTGCAATTCCAGCAATGTTGAAACACGCGTCGACTTGCTGGGCCACCAAAGGCTTCGTAGGGGCCACGAAGACGATTTTGACATCTTTGGTCCACCGAAAGTAGTTGAGCATGACGGTTGCAGCGATGAATGTCTTGCCAAGACCAGTGGGAAGGGCAACAAGCGTATTGTTGAAGAGTCCGTTCTTGACAATGCTGAACTGGTAATCTCTCGTGGCTCCAAGGTTGGTGGGATAGAGCCAAGTTTTCATGGCTTCGCGGTCAAGGGCATGATGGGCAGGTGGTTCTTGCGGTTTGTCTCCTCTATAGACCCTACCGAAACCAGGTTGGGCTGCTTGAATTGGAGAGTCATCTGCCACTCGGCCACCGAGTAAAGTTGTCTGGCGGTAAGTTGCTGAATTTGTGCGAGCGAGCCCGTTTACCGTCCTTGGCGCTGGAGCTGCCGGCCTAGATGCAAAAGCAGGCTCTGGCGAGGACGAAAATGCATCCGAGGGTAAATCATCAAGCTCGTCGCTGGCGGACTTGTTGTTTGTTGCCCTGGAGAAGCCCTGGTCCGCAAGTTAGAACACATAGGGAGATGGAAAAGGCAGCAACAACCGTCCCACCTCGTGAAGATAGATGACTTACAGAAGCTGTGGATTTGGATGCTGCCCTGGAATTATTGCCGTATGACTGGCGTCCTGCATTGACCCGATTGAAAGACGGGACCAGAGCGCTATTGGTTACACTATGGCGGATGTTTGAGGGGTTCTGCGAGACGAGAACCGAGGAACTTGAAGGGCCAGCCTGTGTCTGGCTGAGGGCCTCAAAGAGGTCCTCATCAGCAATATCGTCACCGTAGTCGTCTGAGTCCATAGCGGCTTTTTGTTACTCGCCCAAATGGGCTGATGGATTTGAGGTAGTCGGTCAATCGGTCGTTGTCATGTCAAGATCAGGCGCCGACTTGAAGCTGGCGGTTGAAGCTGGCGGGGTGGCCACTTAGTGCTCCTCCCGATGCGCGCATGGAGACGCGTCGTTGACGCGAGCGCATATCTGAGTCACATAGATAATCACATGACTTAAAAACTTACATAATCAAGATAAGGTTCCGCGCGCAAGAGCCACCCGGCCGTCAAGCTCCAGACCGGGCATCCATTGTTGTAAGGTGGGACCAGGGACCTTTGCTGACCGAACCGCTAGGCACCTGTACGCGGTGCAGACGCAGCAGCGCCTTTGGTTTCCAATCAGAAATTTTCGTTGCTCAAGGTATACAAATCGCATCGCCCAGGTGCAAACCGCAAGAACAAATTTTTCTGGTGTTACTTGCCTGTGATTCACCACAGACACCTGGGAAGGTCCCGGGAGAGGTGCCTGTTGCCGGAGCATTCTGCTGAGACGTGGTGGCACTA